CTTCCTCCTTCTTTTTCTTTGCCTCCTCTTTGGCCCGTTCTTTTGCAGCTTTTGCCTCTTCTTTCAGCCTCCCTTTTTCCTCCCTTTCTGCTTGCAACTTTTGCAGTTTGTCTGCACGTTCTTGATCCTAGTTACCAAACACAGTTCAGTAAGCGTTGTTTTAACTGATATTATGCATCATTAGTTAGAGAGGTACACACATTTATGCAAATAGAACATAGCGCAGGGTCTGGCATTGAGTGGCTGGCATATTGCAATGGTGTCATCTCATGTTATTTCAGAGCACAAAGACATCATCAGAGGACCTTTCATTCTGGTTAATGGTGGCTCTGGCTAACCCAAATATTCGTTGATTCTGGTTCTCAAGGGAATCACCAGCCCCTGTAATGAGGCACAACTTCTCTCCTGACTGTTTCCCCCTGTCCCCATTACGGGAAGTCATTTGTTGACCAAGCTCTGATTCTTTTCAGGATACTGAAAGGGATGTTTGTGTTTTATTTTGCTGAATGTTTCAGTTATTATATTTGCTGATAAACATTCAAGTGTGGAAAAATAGCCAGGAGAAAAACTGCCTTCTGAGTTGGATTAGGTTAGTTTTCAAAATATTTCCTGGGAAATAGCCTGGAATGCAGTCCATAAAAGGGCCTCGGCTATTCTTAAAGCCATTCCCAATAAGAAAATCCACTTCATGTATACAATTTCTCTCTCTCACTTGGATATCTAAATAGCAGTTTGAAGGAGACCCTTTTACTTAAGAACACAACACCCACCATACCATTTGCACTATGCAACTGGTTTATTTCTTATGCAATTTGAAGTATTGCTATCCATGACGTATCATAGATTCATAGATGCTAGGGTCGGAACGAACCTCAACAGGTCAGAGTTTGACCCCCTGCCTAGGCAGGAAAGAGTGTTGGGCTCAGATGACCTCAGCCAGATGCCTATCCAACATAGGCACTTGTGTGTTAGTTCATGTCAAGTAATTTGACAGTTTAGGTTGCCATGCCCCTACGGCAATGTTACAACACCAATAATATCCCAAAGACTTGAGCTATTTTCTCAACTGCAGGGCCTATGCAATATCTTCAAGAACTTGGCGTGCTTAGTAGAATGAAAGAGGCCCCCAAAAATAACTCCTCTGCTTTGAACACATAAGTTGCTACACCTGGAATCCAAGGAAACGTGTGCTCAGACATACAAATGCCCCGTTGTCAATACGCAGCCTCTAACTATTTCATAATTCTTCCAATTCTCATTGGTAAAAAGAACCAGGAAGAGAAATGTTAAGAAGTGGACCAAAAGGAAATGCAAAGGGCTTTGCTTACTATTGAAGGCAAAAGCACAGCAGGTAAACTTTCTATGTCAGTGAAAATGCCTTACTCTTTGCAATCTCAGCCTCTCCTTCTCCGCAGAACTTCTGTGACATTTCTGAGAGACCTGAAATAAGAAGGCACAGATTATCTTTTACTATATATATCATTATTTGTACCCAAATTATTAGCAGTTATTCCATGAAAGTTTGCTTATGAAAGAGTTTGCTTGTGTCAGCAAGTGGATGGCACAAGTATTCCTACAATTCAGGGTCATGCTCTAACTCTGTTCTTAAACCAGCAGAGCAGACTGCCCATTATTTTTCTTCAATTTGCTATAAAATTCCTATTATGTATTACTAAGCTCTGGCTTTTAACTTGAACACACTCCTGCAAAGTACTCTGCCCCATAGTATATTTAGCAATACAAGATAGGCTTGTATTTACACGTGTGCGCTTGCAAGCACGAGTCAAAGCCACTACAGATCATATACATAACAAGGGGAATTCTAGTCATAGCAAAAACACTTCCTACAGACTGCAAGTGTTTTGATGCAGCATACCATGATTTTTACTGTGATGTTGAACCTTCAGTACCCAAATAAAAGGAATGTCATGAACGAGTCTGAGAACTGAAGGACAGTTCCTCTTGCTCCTCTCCTTCCACCAACAGCAGTACATCGTAAGTTTTTTTACAGACCTTTTTCTTGTTCCTGTAACAGCTACTGGCTGAAGCCTGCAAAATAGGCTTCTTCAGACTACGTAGAAAAATCACATACATGTTTTAGGCTGTTGGTTGTAGCTGTGTTGCTCTAAGGACATAAGCAGACAAGGTTCTATGGGTACATGTGATCTTTTATCAGACCGACTAAATAGCTGGAAAAACTGTTCTTTGCAAGCTTTCGGGCACAAGCGCTCTTCTTCAGGCATAGGAAAAGTGTCCCCCTATGCCTGACTTTCCCTATGCCTGAAGAAGGGTAAAGGGGTTTGTGCCTGAAAGCTTGCAAAGAACATTTTTTCCAACTATTTAGTTGGTCTGATAAAAGACATCACATCTGCCCAAAAAACCCTGTCTATATACAACATGTGGAATACAGTACCAAAGACTGGAATTCATCTTACTGAAGGTACTATTAGCTTGCTTGTAGTGTTTTTATGCATTATCAGCAGCTTTGGCAAATCTATTTTCTCAGTTGATCTGGTTCAATATGGATCAAGTAGTACAAGTAAGTTTTACTCATTTGAAGAGTTCAGTGAACTCCAGATGCCTGCTCCATGACATATGTTCAATCAGTACAAGCAAGCATTAACACACACTCTGTTTGATGTACAAAAGGATGCAGGTCTTGCCACAAGGAGTGTTAGTTCTACAAACAGCATTTTATACGTCAAACCTTGTTAAAGGAACCAGGGCAGAAGCAACACACTTGCTGCATTTTCCCCTCTTGAAGAGGTGCCATTAAATTCACACGCCAATGATACAACATTCCACCTTGCTTTGAAAAATGTGGAACTACATCTTTCATATCTGAAGTGTACCAGACATGTTTCAGTACTGGAGAGCAGCATGCTGTCAATTCAAGGATTGAGACTATGAACTGTACCCATGAATTCTTCTTTCTTCACCGATGGCACAAACCATCCATTTAACAGAAGGAAGAGATCCACTGTGTCACACAATGCAAACCTCCACCAATGCAGAATAGCTTTCTCAATACACCCGAGTGCTTTCTCCAACCCATAGATGATTAAGCAATGGAATTTCTGTGATGTGCCTTGGGCAATTATTTCACAGCCCAATAGGATTTTTTGCCAATACTGCATGATGGAGTTTTTCAATTCCATCGTATCATTCTTCTTATCCCCCTTTGTACTGCCCTCCACAATTTCACTCCCATTCAGAAAGTAGATTCTATTTATACTAGGCTGCCCCTTCCTTATGTAATCTTTCTTCAACCCTGAACTCCCTAAACTCTTCCTCTGTAAGAAATCTGACAGTAAAAGCTGAGCGAATATGCACACCACACAGCTTGTCCAGCTTTTGTGCTAAGAGTTGCAGGATCCAAAGCATAGTTACAAGGCCTGTTCTAGTTTAACAGAGTCTTAAGCATCAGGCCTTTGTGCTTCATGCAGGAGAAACTCCCACTTTACATCTCGGTTGGTAGGTTCCAGAAAAGCCTATTCACATCTGAATCCTGTTCAAGCCATTTGATTAATTGTTTCAGTTTTACAAGCACAGATGGCAGTCTCAAAAAACCCAAAGCTTCCCTTTCAATGCAGCGCCAGAGTGCACGATGCTTCAAGGGATCTAGCACTAGAACAGAAGTCATAAGTTAAAAAAATAAATGAATGAGTTCTTAAAATTAAATCTATACAAACCTTGTAGTAGAAGTTTAGAATTAGCTTAGGTGTATATTTACTATTTTATTCTACTTATGGTACTAAATAGCCAAGTGTATCACGTGACCCAAGTAGCTTTGTATTGCTGCTTTAGGAAAAGAGTCAGGCAAGGGATAACTATTGGCCGTGCTCAGATGGTGTATACTTTAACAAGATGGCTGACAGCAGGAGAGATTTGCACACTAATTTTAAGAGGCTTATGTAAAGGTTTTCACCTACCCCATCTCTCTCACTGCCACCTACAGCATAAGGGATTTTACAGCTACCTTGGTCATATATCAAAATAACACTTACAATTTGTGTGGTTGTCTATCCCTCAGACAGAACACAATGGAAAGATGCACCTTATAACACTAACATAAATCAGAGATACACAAGTTTCTGTAAGCCTGAGCTCACCTTCATCAGATTCTCTGAGGCTCAAGCAGCTTGCATATAGAAATTACTTTTGAACATATTTGTATGTACTTGTAGAAGATAACATCCAATGAATTCCCATTTTTAAGCTGAAAGCCTTACCGTTGTGAGTAAACTTGGAAATAATTTATACAATCCCCATAAAGGAACATGAGAGTCTACAGTATCACATAACACACTGTTCTCCCACACTCTGTCCTAACATAGTAAGTCATAAGGCAGGTATCTTATGACAGAGCTAATCTATGACAACAGGATGTACTGCTTAATATATTTACATTATGCATATTAATGAGTACTTTTAGAAACAAACAAACAAAAAAAAGGCCAACACTTCAGCTAAAAATGTCACTTAAAAAAAGGTCAAGGAGCCAATCATATCTTGGCTGCAAATTTCACCCACAAAAAGATTAATCAGTTTTATATCATATCATTTGCCAATATTTTTTTTAGAAACAAAGGTATTGAAAAAATTATTAGTTTTAGTTGCAGATGAGAAATCTTGCTGGCTACACACAAATAAAACAAAGAGACCAACCTTCCGAACAGGCGTTGAAGCTAAGGGACTAGTATCGCTCTTGTTCTCTAAGGCAGGATGCACCTCAGGTGAGCTGATAGAAGAGGGGGAGCTTAATGAGGAAAGGGTAAGTACAGAGTCTCGTTCAGGAGAAGAAGATCCCATTGTTTCACTTTCTGACATCATACTTCCTTCTAGAGATGCAAGTTGGGGTGACCTTGCAGTCATGATATCCTCTAGGACTACAACAGGCATCTTTCTCCCCAATATGATCCCCTTGAGTTCACTCTCCTTGGCTCTCTTATTTTCTAAATCATTACACGGTGTATTTGATAACTGAGAACAAGATTTGGTTGCATCTGTCAAGTCTTCATCCTTATTTGCTGTAGCTTCACGTGGCGAGCTGGTGTCCATTGAAGCATCCACTCGGGTATTCTGAAGGGGTTTTAATGGACTTAACTCATCTGCATCTTTTTTTAAGATTCCATTAGCTGTTTCTATAGATGAAGATGCTTCTAAATTTAATTTACCGTGGTCAATTTCATCACTTAGTCTGTGGTCAGTGTCCTCTGTCAAGTCAATTACAAGTACAGTTTCACTTGTGTTACTCTTTGTACTTTTCTGTATAAAGTCATCTAATGGACCCTTTCCATTAACCAGTTTTGGAGCAAAATGCATTTCTGGATCCAACTGGCAGTCATTCTCCACATTGTCCATGGAAGTGTGGGATGTATCCAGAGAAGAGTTGTTATTTTGTCCAAAGACATTTTGTGAGCTTTTAGTTTTCTTGACTTCCAAGTCTGCATCATACTTCTCCTTTGGTACTGGATTCAAACGCTTGAAAGGCAACCGAGCTGAAACAGTAAGATTTCACTATTTAAGTAAAGCCGTACAAAATCAGCAGAGGGAAATTAGCCATTAAGTTACTTAATGAGTTCTTCAAAAAGCAAGAAAACCTAGTGCAGACTAGCAAAGAATATGTTACGCACTCAAGCATGATACATTTAGCAAACCTTACTAGGTCTGAGACATTAAAAAAGCAAGTTGTTGGGGGACAGGTGGGGGGGGGGGAAATCACCTTTCTTTCATAAGCTTACCTTGCACTAATTTTCTTGTAGGAACAACTGGCTTGTCTCTGCATTCCATAGCTGCAAGACAAAAGAGCAGATATAAACAGCTGCCCGGTTACATTTAACTGTATTTTCTACAGGCATTTAAGACATATTAACAAACTGATACTTAGTGCTGTCATCACTGGATACATTATGCAAAATGAGCATTTCCTACTAAACAGAGAAACAAAAACAAAAAAAGGATTTCCTTAGCCTAATCACACTTCTATTAAACAAGAGACACAGTTAGCCGCGTCAGTCTGTAGTCAGGTAGATGGCAGGGAAGAACTGCACCTTTTACGCTAACCAGGACAGACGTGCATGTAGCACACACTTTCCTGGGCTAAAGCATCCGATGAAGCGAGCTTCAGCAAACGAAATCTTGTGCTAGACCCATCCATCTATCCGCTCCGGTGAGTCAACATGGTGCAAGTTTTCACTGCTCTCGTTAATGGAGAGCGGGAAGGGCCAACCAGCAGCACGCGTGTCACAAGTGCCTCAGACCAGGGAGGCAACAGGCAGCCCAGGAACAGAAAGAGGAGCCCCAGATCGGGCAGGGGAAGAATGGGGCTGGGAGCAGAAAGCAGAGCAGCAGATCAAGAAGAGGAGCACAGGAGCACAGAGCAGATCAGGCAAGGGAGCAGCATGCAGAGCAGATCAGGTAAGGAAGTAAGGAACATGGAACAGGCAGCAGCACGGCGGGGGAGCAAAAACCAGAGCAGCAGATCAGGCAGGGAAGCACAGGGCAGGGAGCAGAGCAGCAGATCAGGCAGGTAAGCAGGGGAGGCACAGAGCAGATGGGATCATGGGGCACGGAGCAGAAAGCAGAGCAGCAAATCAGGCAAGAGAGCGCAGGACAGGGGGCAGAGCAGCAGAGCACGCAAAGGAGCAGAAAGCAGAGCAACAGATCAGACAGGGAAGTAAGGGACGAGGACCAGGCAGCAGCGCAGAAGATCAGCCATGGGAGCACGGGGCAGGAAGCAGAAAGCAGAGCGGGAGATGAGGTCCGGGGCAGGGAGCAGGGGCAGGGAGGCAGCGGAGCGGCAAATCGGGCGTTGAGGAAGCTCCATCCCCACTCCCCACTGGCTCCTTTACACGCCGAGCGCGGAGGCCCTGTCCCAGCGCGGCGCCCCGGGCAGTACCTGCCATGCGGCGGAGCGGCCCCGTTCCCTCAGGCCCGACCCCCCCGCGGCCGCAGCGACCGGGGCGCGCCCGCCTCTCCCGCTCGTATTTGGCGGGAGCCTCAGCGGCACCAGACTCCGCGCCGCCGATTGGCCCGCAGCCCCCACGTGACCCGGGATCCCGCGAAGCCTCGCGAGAGGAAAACAAACCCCACCCGCTCCTTTCAGCACAACTTTTCGCCCCCACACAGCTCCCCCAAAGCTCCTATTGGCTGGAGGCGAAGGCTGCTGCCTATTGGTGCAAGGGGCTGGCACAAGGACTCTCGGCCGCTGTGATTGACTGAGGGGTGCAAGGGGTGGGCTCGGGGCTCTCCTCGCTTGTGCAATACCAGTGCGCGCAGGCGCCCTGCGATAAGTCTCCCCTGCTCGAGGGAGGGGGTTTGCGCCCCACTGCTTGCAAAGGGCATTTTTCCCAATAATTTTTTGTAATTTTTTTCATATTCCAGGTCAAATTAGCCACATCACTTCCAAATCCTCGCTGCACGGCGGTAGACGCCCAGGCTTCTCCGCCCACGGAGCCGTTGCATGCGCCTGCATGCCCCGGGGGTGAAACGCCGGGTGGAAGGGGCGGGGCCAACCCCGGAAGCTCAACCCCCTCGCCGGCTCCCGCTCATGGAGCCGGCAGCGCGCGTCGGCGCCGCGAAATGGCGGCCAATGAAGGAGCGGCTCCGGGCCCCTCGATCACGTCACCCGGCCCCGGCGGGAGGGGGAAGGAGCGGCGCGGCCGCAGGGGCTCCTGGGAGGTGTAGTCCCCGGGTGGCCCCGGCCTGAGCGGAATGTGGTCACACGGGAGCGCCGTGCTTTCCAACGGGAAAACTGTGTTGTTTGCCCAGTCAGAAAGGGGGGCTTTGAGTCCAGCAGGGGGACCTCCAATATAACGAGGGATGCCTTGTGTCTAACAAGGGTGATTTGAGTCTAAAGAGGGGGACTTCAGTCTAATGAGTAGCCTTTGGTCTAATGATGGGTGTCTTGAGTCCAAAGAGGCAGCCTTTGAGTCTAAAAAGGGAACCTTGAGTCTAATGGGGGCTCTTTTGAGTCTAACAAGGGTGCATTTGTGTCTAATGAGTGCCTTGAGTCTAACAAGGGGTGGCTTGAGTCTAATGAGTAGTTTTTGGTCTAATGAGGGGTGACTTGAGTCTAATAAGAGTGCCTTGAGTCCAATGTGGGGCCTTTTGAGTCTAACAAGGGTGCCTTGAGTCTAACAAGGGGATATTTTAGTCTAACGAGGGGTGTCTTGAAACTAATGAGAGGGGCTTTAGATCTAATGAAGGAGCCTTTGAGTCCAATGAAGGGGGCCCTGAGTCTAAAGAGGTGGCCTTGGAGTCTGAGGGATGCCTCGAGTCTAAGAAGCGGGGATTTGAGTCTAATGGGGAGGCGTTTGAGACTAACAAGGATGCCTTGAATCTAACAAAGGACCTTTGGGTCTAATGAGGGGTGCCTTGACTTGTAAGAGGCAGCCTTTGAGTCTAAGGAGGGGTTCCTTGTGTCTGAAGAGGCGGCCTTCGAGTCTGAGGGATGCTTCGAGTCTAAGACGGGAGGAGTTTGAGTCAAAGAAGCGGTGACTTGAGTCTAATGAGGGTGTCGAACAAGTGGGTATTTGAGTCTAAGGAACAGTGCCTTAGGTCTAAAAATGTTGAGAACCACTGCTGTAGCAGGTGCCACACGTGATTATCCTACCAGGGGCAGGGTCTCTGCTCTCCCCCTCATGGACTCTCAGACATGCTGCCTTATGCTTCACAGCTGATGTACACAATGCTGGTGTGGGCTGGGAGGAGCTGAGGGTGCAGGTGCTTGTTGCACGGCTTCAGTTGCAAGGCTATTCCAGGAGCCGGTGCTGGTTCTTCTGTTGTGCTCATCACTGTCACATCTGAGCGCCCTCGGCAATACATTGAATAACGCCTCTGACATTTCTCATGTGCTACATGTTCTCTCACTTCCCCCCCACAGAAGAAGTATGTGCATTGGTGCATCTTATTTTGGCTGACTCTTAAGGACTCTGGTTTGGTTTTTGGGGGTCTTTTTCTACCTTCTTAAAAAATAAATAGATCGGCATTGCTGCTCTGTGCTGATGTCAGAGAAGTTGAGGTCAAAAGATGTGCCTTGCATTTCGAGAAGAAGGAAGTGCGGGTCCTTTTTTCTGGGACTCTTCATTCCACAGTCTTGAAATAGGTTCAGTGGCTTGCACAAATGCGCTCTATCTTTCTTGCAAAGAGGTCTCCTTTGCCAGAGAAATATAGCTCTCAGCTGTGTTGTTTTTTTTCCCTCCCAGAGCACTGTGGTCTTTTAAACATCCTGAGGCCAGACCACAGGGTGCTTTGAAGATAAGAACTGAAGCCTTGAACTTGATTCAAAATTCTGAAGGAATCGACTGCGCAGAACAGAGGGCACCCTGGATGTACTCATAGTGGCCTGTGGTGCTGCAGAAGTGCGTTGCAGAATTTTCTATTCATTGGAGATTCCTAGCCGCTGAAGTCTTTATGCCCAGGTATACTGCGTCACTGTGGTCCATTGGAGGGGTGCTGACATCTGGTATAACCAAGGCCAGTTCATAATCTGCCAGGATGGGATGGAGCTGTCCAGAAACATTATTCACAGAGGTTTTGGAGAGCATAGGAATATTCAGTTGCTTGAGTTTGGGTGTGTGTCTTCAACTGAATGAGACTACAGCACAACCATAAATGCTTCAACTTGCTTTCATCTGCCCAGCAGTGTTACCTGTTGGACCTGGATTCAGTGGCAATACTGCTCTTTATTCATGATCTGATTTCAGTCAAGCTCTTGGCATTTGGCTATGGTGGCAGTGATGTGGTCATATGTGATAAAGGACAGGGAGAGCTGTGACACCTACATATTGCTGGAGGATAAGCTCGTATGGTCAGACCAGTTCACCTCATTGCTGCACGTGGCTGTTGAAAAGGACCGGAGTGAGAACTGAACCTTGTACGACTCCAGAGTAAGGTACTATTTCCTATCACTGCTCATTTAGTGTGCCCTTCTAAATGGCACAGAGGGGATGAGAAAGATGAGAATGGATGTCTGCCCTCTGTCCATTAATGGGAGAGGAGCATCCATCACTGCCACCAAACTATTTTCAGTTTAAAATGATCAATGTCAGGTTTACAACAAACAAAAGGGAATGCTGATTTACACAGCACATAAATAACTTGTGGAACTCATTGCCACAGGACCTTGTGAAGACTAATAGTGTAATCAGGGTCAGTTTTTTATGGAGGATAGGTCCATGGGGCTATTAACTACAACAACCAGGGGTGTGAACTCAGGCTTAGGATGTATGACTTTGAGTATCTGGGAGAGTATGATTCTCCACACAACCCATTTCTTATACTCTTCCTCTGAAGCATCCGTTCCTTGCCACTGTTGGAGACAGAGCACTGAGCTAGTTGGGTCTCATCCTGGCTGGCATTTCATATATTCAGTTGTGTCCTAGCCTGAGTCTGGATAGTGGTTTCATTTAGATGAGCTTGCAGGGAGCCTTTGTCTCTACAGTTTAGGAATGGGAGGTGCAACACTGAGTGGCAGCTAGTTAAAATGAATGCATGTAGCTGTGGGGAGGAGGAAGGAGGCTCTTCCAATGTCAGTTGGACTGTGGGTGCATGAAACAGGAATCTCTGAATGGTGTGTTGGCTCTGTGGGACACCCACTGTCCCTAAAGTCTTAAGAAACCTTTTTCACTTTATCTTGTCTCAGAATTTGAGTTTCTGCCATTCTCTCTTTATCTGGCAGGGAATATCAGAAAGCTAAGGAAACTGAGTGAGCACAAGCAGGAAGGGGCCTTTTTAAGGTCAGTGTCTCAGTGGTCAGGGTTAGTGTAAGATGATAATTCACTGAGGCCTCAATTCCTTGAATTTACATCATTGTAATAACAGAAATGCATGGAAAAAGCAACCTCCAAACACACAAAAAGGGACTGTAAATCTTCTTCCAGGATCTGTCACAAGGGCATATTGCCAGGGGGGAAAGGAGTTAAAAGTTGGGGTGAAGGAGTACTTGTGTCTGTGAAAGATAGTTTTGTGGCAGTGTTTCTATGCAGGGGTTGGACTGAGATGAGCCTTGAGGTCCTTGTCAGTTCTGTGATTCTATGATTCTATTTTTTTTTTCAAGGTTGCAACATATTCACACCAGAGAGAAAACTATATACAAAATGTTGCTGTCAGTTATCACTAGCTTCTTACTCAGCTGTAATTTAGGCATATTTCTGGGAGCAGAGAACTTTTTTCTTCCAGTAACTTAGAATGTATTGTGAAACATGAAACGCACATAACCAGTCTTTATTGCAATCAAAATAATAGCTCTGAGAGTGCCAGCACTAAACAGACTTTTCAGTCCAAACACTGCAGGCTGTGCACGCCACTGGCCTCTTTGTTCCTGATTTTGGTCTAGTTCTGTTGTCAGAATTAAGAACTTACTCTATTTGGTATTACAAAAAGCCTTCAACAAACAGAACATTTTGGTTTATGAAATTAAAACCTGGAACATATTGGATGTCCTCCCTCTCTCAAACTAATGCTGGGATAGCACATGGAAAAGAAAAAAACCTCCCAGGAAAAGTTTATATTGTGTTGGACAAGCCGGAACAGATCATTTTAAAGTAATAATTTCTCAATCTTGTAAGCACTTATGTGCATGTTCAATGCATGTCAGTATTTCCATGTGCTTAGCTTCACTATTGTCAAACCATCGGTGGGTTATTCTTAGCAATGGAATTAAGCGCACACATAAATGTTTGTAAGGTGAGGGCTGTGGAGATAATAAAAATGACTTCTGAGAGTGCATAAGGGTAAGAGTCTTTGCAGATGAGTGAGGAGTGGTGTCTATCAGTGGTAAACCTTTTTTGTACCAGGACCCCTTTGTAAACATCAGTGGCCAGTCCTGATCTAGTAAATAGTTTAAGTAGAAAACAGCCCCGGGGCCGTGCTGGTGCCCCTTACTCCTGAGCTGCTACCCCACCCCACCATGTGAAGAATGGGGAAGCCCCAAGCAGCCCCTCGCAAGCTGGAGCTCTGCCAGCCTGCAAGGGAAAAGCCACGGTTCCCCACGTTTTTCCCCTTTAAAGGAGAATACATTTTTAAAGTTTGTTTCCGACCCTTTCATATATTCTTGCAACCCAAATTTGGGTTGTGGGTTGAGAAACACTGGTCTGTTTCCAGTCCTGGGAGCTGAGAAGTCTCTTAACACCTGCATCTATATCTGTGGGGACTGCAAAGTGCTCTCTGCATGGCTTTTTACCCCCCTATAAAACTTTTATCCATATAATAAAAAATATCAGATTTACCCAAAGAACGCTGTCTGCCTATGTCCGTACACCAACATGGCTACAGCCTATACCCCTCTATCCCCACACAGCTTTTATCCCTTAGAGAAATCATGAACGACACTTGATGTACGCTTAGAGGAATCATGAACGACACTTGACGTGCGCTAGCGCGTCCCACATGCGTTGCTAGCTCATGGGAAGTGATGCTAAGCGCGGTGAGGATCAAATTAAGCCTTGATGGAAGTAGGAGCACCAGCAGCAATAATGATGACAGAGAAGGCACAAGGGCCCCGGGGGCCTGGTGCAAACAGAGGCTGTCGGCTGGGCCTAGGAGCGAGACCTCATTCATAAGTGATGGAGGTAAAGCTATTCCCAGGACCAAGAGCCCCAAGGCGGGGACACCCGGGACTGGAGCCACGTGCCAGCCCCAGTCCGCACTGCACTTCCGGGCGCTTCCGCAGGGGGCCAGTGCCTTGCCTGGCTCCTCTCTAGCTGCCGCGCGCCGCTCTGTGGTACCACCGAAAGAGCGGCGCTCTCTCTCACGTCTCTGTAGTGGCGGCCGGACCTCGCTCCCTCTGTCGGGAGGGGCGGGGCAGGGCGGGATCCCTCCGCGGCCCGCCCACTTCCGGCTGCGTGGGCGCG